CCGTGTGACTTCTTCCTCTTCCCCAAGATGAAAATTCAGCTAAAGGGAAGGAGATTTGAGACGATAGAAGAGATTCAGGCAGAATTGCAGATGGTGCTTGACAGGCTGACAAAGAAAGATTTCCAGGGATGCTTCCAGGCTTGGCAGCGGCGCTGGGATCGTTGTGTTCACTCCCAGGGGAACTACTTTGAGGGTGATGGATGAATTTAATACCTGAGATAAGTGTACGGGTTTTTATACGCGCAGTCTAGAAACCTTCCGATCGCACCACGTAATCTCATACAGTGCCTTCCTTTTCCCTGTTTTTTTAAATAAAATACCGAAAACAGTTTTGCAATGATACGAATATTTGCCAGGGTTTCAGTCTTGACCAACGCAGCGGCGCTGAGTAATCACTTGATGGATTAAATTGTTGCTAAGCAACGAAATATCTGTGAACATAGATTGTCTTTGGTACTAACAAGATATCCAGGTGGAAATATAGACAATTAGACGATTGCATTTTATTGATGTGCATAGGCTGAAGATGCTGAATATCAGTGTTTCAGTAACTTAACTGTGCGTCACCTGTGTTGTCCGCCTTCCTCCCAATCCTCATGTACGGGAGATTTGTTTAAACCTGGACAGTAGACATGAGTAATGCCACATTCAACGGCGCTTTGGTCATATGTTAAGAAGAGCTGAATGACTTACTCACCTCGATATATTTAGGATCTGCCAAAAGGACAGCCAGTACTGGGCCGACCCAAACACGTGCAATTGGCCCGTGTGTTCCAGTCAGCCACATCATGTAGTCAAAGAACTCTGGAAGCACATTCAGAACACGTCATGTCAGTACCTATCCGATTCAGATAATTCTGTATAATGGATGAAGAGTTCTGAAGGGTAGGGCCATGTAAGTGTTGCATCCGCGTAGAATTTATGCAGACCTACATGTTGCATGTCGTGTTGTAAAGCTACATGAGAAGTAGGTCATCAGACCAAAATTTCTGTCACTGTACATGTCTCTAAATACACATGTCATCTATTGTTGTATACCTCATCGTCATTCCAGTGTCCAGGATTTCAATATTTGAAACATGGAAGAGACAGACCTACTTATTTCGCTAATAGTGTTACAAAGAAGGGCATCTTTTCCTTCAGAACTCTACAATGAGACTGCCGCAGTAGTAAATTTTCGTTTGCGTAACAATGAAGTCTGTTTTTCTGTGTTTTGGTGCCATGTGGACTTGTCAGTAGACACCAGCATTTCGGAGAAATATACTTTCTCCATCTTCAGGACTGAAGATGGAGACAGTGCACAGCCGCTTTCTCCGCATCCTTTCCAATTCATAACACAGAAAAGGAAGCACAGTGGATACCAGATGGTCGGGGTGCTAGGGTCGTTATTCGTCAACTTCTTATTCATCCGCTGAAGACAACTTAGGAAAATAAGAACACCACAAACAATTTGTAGATTTGATGGCGATAATTTTACTCAGTTAACATATCACGTGATGGAAAAAGGATTGAAACGCTTGGAGATCAGTGAGATCCTAATTCTTTATTACTCTTTAAATTTTAGTTCGAAAATGCTATTACTAATAAATTAATATCAGTTGTACAATATTTGTGAAGTGTAGTTACCCAAGTAAGACGCGTTACATGAAAGTTATTAACTAATCATCCTATAATTTGACACTATATGCATTAGGCATAGTCTGAGCTGCTGATAACAATATTGAATAAACCACAATTAATTTATTCTTCTTTCCTCGTTTAAAACCATCCTGTAACAACACGCAGTTGATAAAACTTTGTTTAAAATGGCTTTTCTTAATTCGTAGTTTTGATCTAATGTCAAGGAGATAAATCTCACGGACTATGTAACACGAAAATGTGTTGTGTTATTGATTGTGGCGGTTTTGGATGGTAGAATATCTAGGTGATGCATTCTTATATTCCTATATTGTTTACTAGTAAAGTATTGACATGTTGTTGGTATTGAGATGCCAGCTTGTACTACCAACAAAGTGCCCAAGATGGATGAAGTGACAGCAGGCCAGAAACGTCACATAATGAGGACCTCCATACTTGGAGTTTTACAAAATGGGCCTATTTTGAATGACCAAATCTAAGGAGGATGAACTTGGAGGGCAGATGAGAAATGTGTGTAAAATTTTGATTAGGAATCCTGAAGGGCTTGGAAGGCTGATGAGAGAGTAAAAATAAAATGGAACTTAGGAAAATGGATTTGTAGGGTGAGGATTGAATTGAGTTTAAGACTAGGATTAGTAATAAGCTTTGGTTTACATGGTAATAAACCTTTGGTTCCATGAAGTGCGGGTGAATTTCTTGATTAACTGAGACTGTAATATCAAGGATTCTGCATAATGGAGTTAATGAAACGCCATGTTAAACGATGAAAGAGACATTTGTTTATGGTAAGGAACTACTAGAATAGGATTAGTACCGCCAGATTGCAACATAGTGAGTGAATTACTTGCAAGAAAAGCAAAGAATTTCACGTTACGTTTCGTGCTGGTGCCGAATTTCAGGGCATTTCCAAATAGCGGTTGTGTCTGAGGTCCCGGAATCTTCTCCGCTTTCTCTACCAGGGGGCGCATTTTGGCACGATAATGTTGCAGTACTAAGTAGAGGGCAGCAGCCACCAGACTGAGTAACAGTAACAGCATCTTGAATCTGAAACAGAAGTCACGTGTTTGAAATACTTAAATCTTTTCTGAAAACCTAGCTCCGTTTGACAAGCTTTGTAACAAACACTTGCAGTTTCCCGTCACGTCTACGGAACAGAATTAATAGAATGGTTGAATGCTCCAGTTTTTGCCGAAGTTTATCTTTTCATCATTTCATAAATGGAAAGAAGTCCTACTGGTACTGAGCAGGATCTTACATTTGAACGAGTGTTTTGTTGTTATGCAAACGTTCGTTAATGTGCAACCGCGTCCTTTTTGCACCCAATGCTTCAATTACACAAAATCCATTGGAAGGAACTCGTTACTTGACATGTGCAGTTTGGTTCCATGGCCATACTGATGACTTACCTACAAATTATGTATACGCCGGAACGTCTCCTTTCTCTTTCTCTCTTTCTCTCTATCTCTCTCTCTATCTTTTTTTGTTCGTTACAACTTCGCAACAGTTTGGAAGTTTTGAGAATTTGTCTTGCAACTTTAATGCAGCTATAACTTGAAATGTAACAGTCATGAATCACATATAAGTGCGCATTGTTACTTCCCGTCGATAGGCAATCCATAGAGTTTTTCTAGAAATGTTGGTATTGTAAAACTCATCTTGCTGACCTGCAAACTATTCAGTAAGCAAAGAGTTTTTTCGAAAGTGCTCCATATCTCAGCACGTGTCTTGATAAGTTACATACTTAAATATTTATTCAAGCTTCCAAAGAAATATTCATTGAGGAGTTTAACCG